AATCTTGTTTTAAGTAAAAATGTGCTCAAAGTATTTTGTTTTTCATCACTTTTTGCAGTGTAGATTTCCCGGTTGACACTATTTCACCTGTGATCACTCCAACCCTTCATTCAACTTTCGGCTTGGGCCACAACCCTACTCCTGCCCATCACTACCTCGACATTGGGACGTTCTATCCACCAGGGATTTTCAATTTGCATATTCTCTTTCAGAATTCGCTCCTGCATATGTAATTTTTCTAAGTTTCCTAAGCACCAAACCCATATCCGACAGCAGCGTATGTCAACAAATACGATTGTGTCTTGTTCAAACATACCTGGGTGACTCTGAAAACCCAGTGTGCAAATGAAGGGAAAATAACTACTGTATATGGTCAAAGCTGGAAAATATAATTCTCCCAAAGATGAATATGATAATTCATGCAAAATACGGGTCGGTCAGAGCAACGACGCCTTCAATACAGAAGAGTATAAACACTTTTGTTGCGTAAATGTTGCAGAATAGATCACCTTCAAAATAATTTGAAAATGTGTCACTTTAAATCAAATATATATTTTTTGTGACTCCAAAAAATCTCTACATAAAACTGATCAACGATTCACGACTCAAGGTAGAAAAGCTCATTGTTATACAAATCATGTGTCACTCAAACCTTTTGTAAAGAAAAAACATATTTGTTCCATTGTGCCATTTATAAAAGAATATTTATTCATAAATTGGCTGGGCTGATTGGAGTTTGGGCTTTGTTTTGAAGATGAAAACAGCATTGACATTTTTCAAATTCAGATTTCTTTGTCCCAAAGGATTAAAAGCAGTAAATACCACCGATAAGATTTCTCATCAACGCGCAAGAAAACAATACTAGTTTGAATCTGAGGGAAGAATGATATACTTCCTATTTCTCAAGCAGTTCTTGTCTCTACACGGATCAAGGTTAACAGAGAAACATGTGAACAAACGTCACGGAACCCACTATAATAAATCCAAAGCAGTTCATTTTTGTTACAGGACACTTATTATGCAAAGTAGGTACATTTTTCCCTCATTCAAATCATATCGCACGTTTATTTTTTTTTTTTCACCTGCATCCACGCCTTTTATGAAGAGGTGTTTTCATCTGGTAGATCTGTGTTTTTGGATCCATGTTGAAATGCTGTGGACCTGGGACAGCTTTGGGAAAGGTTGCCGTGTTGTTTGGCCCTTTTGGACTACAGCAAGTTCAGTCTCCATGTAAACATTGTCCAACATATTTTTTGACGACAACTTTTCAAAACTTTACTTTACTTTAAGAGAAGCGTGTGTGACTGCCCAAACTCTGATGGTAAGAGCAGCAGCAAGTATTGTCTCTCATGTGATTTGTTCGTATTGTTATAATAGTATAACTTGAACCTGACTATATCTGTAAAAAACATTTGATTTTGATTTTGATTGCTTTCCAAATTACTTATATATTTAGTCAGAGTTTTCATGTGGGCAAGAACCCGGTACAACATGAAAAACATCTTTGACTAAAGACAGAGGTGTTTTCTGCGTTTGTTGATGACAATATTAAGGCAGTGGAGAGTGTGTGCAGGTTCTTTTTGATATAACTACTTTACATTTACTATTAGACTTTCAAATTAAATCCATTTTTATTGTACAGCCCCAAATCCCAGCAGCAGTCGTCTTGCAAGACTTTACAATAATGTAGATTTGCAAACATAACATTTAGACAAAGGGACACTGGAATGAAGCTGTACTGTAAGTATGGAGGTTTTAGGCAAGGCAAGGCAAGTTATTTTGTATCGCACAATTCAGACATAAGCTATGTGCTGAACAAAACAAGATAGAAACAGTACTTTGAAAAGAAAGATAAGCATATAAAATCCCTCAGTTGTATGCACAGCTATACAAAACTGTTTTCAACCTGGATTTAAACATTGAGATTTTGTTTTATTTAATTAACGCTACTTTTTTTAAAAGACTTTTGATACGACAGTAGATCTTATATTGATTTTTTTCTTTCTTTTTTTGAGATGTAGCAGTTCCATTGTTCCTTTTGTCTTGTAAACAATCGCGCTGATCATAAGTTTGTAAAACGTCTGTGTTTCTGCTTCATTGTCAAATCAATTCCAGTCTTGCTTTAGCTCCGTACACTCCAGCGTTTTTAATCATCGCCGTAACAGCCCACTTCTTTTGCTGCGACTCGCCACATCTTTTTAATAAAGCCACGGCTCTCAAAGGTGCTCTTACTATTTAATTTACACCATCGTCTCCTCCTCCGCACATTAGCAGCAACAGGTTCTCTAACAATGTTTCCCAAATGAACGCTTCAAGTGCCGTGGTGGTTCTGTGCGGGGATGCGGGCGCCGGACGGACACAAAGACATTATTGAGATGTTAGTTAACTTCATATAGAGTGATTAAATATCTCATCCATCTGACAGTTTAACGTCGCACTGTATAGCCAGAGAAAAGTGACAATTTCTTTCTCTGGCATTGGAAATAAAGCGTTCTTATTCTGAGAGAAGAAAGAGAGCTGTATGTGTTATAGGCCCGTGTAGTGGCAAGAATGAATCAATCAACATGTTTATTTTAATTTCTTTTATAATTTCCTTTTTTTCATACCATTTGACCAAAACAAAGCTCAAGAGGTGACTTTGGAGAACATCTTCATAAAGACGACTTGCTGCACTTTGGGTTGTTTGATTAAAATGCATTTTAATTTCATTCTGCAATCATTTGAGCATCTGCTGATTGTATGTTTGAGGCTTTTAAACTGTTTTTAGACAACTTTTATTATGATACAAATGCTATTTATGCAACAAAATGATGATGTAGTGTAGTGACCACTACTTAAACGAGACGAGGGAGTCGAGGGAGTTATCAGTGGTGTCGCTGCTGCTGAAGCCAGAGTTCACATCAGAGAGGTGTTACTACAACTGGGCATCATGTCCCAGGTTATACTCCAAAAGAACCGTACTGTATCAGGAGAGACTTTCATTCAGAGAAATATATGAAGCCTGAATGTGAAATAGAGGAAACAAGGAAAGCGCTTTAAGAGCCAGCAGCTGACCCGGCTTCCTCTGCTTTCTGTTTTTTTGGAAAACTTCCAGTCTTTAAAAAATAAGCTGGAGGAACTTCAAGGAAACATTCGATTCCAGAAGGATTTGATATTCAATTCAATTCATTTGAACTAAACCCTATATCACAACAGCAATTGTCTCCGAGGACTATGTTTTTGATTCGCCAACAACAGGTCAGAGACAGAAAATGCAATAATAACAAACATATAGGAGCCATTGGGCCATAGGGAGCGACCAATGTCCTTAAATCTCCCGGGGCAACACTGTCCTGAATTTTGAAGTGAGCACAACTAAAAAAAAACAGATTTTGAAGACTGTTGTGTCCTGGATAAAGACAATAACCTGTTTGTGGACGGACCACGCTAACCACTCCTGCAGCCACTTGGTCACTACAAGAAAGTTGCATAATGCCTGTTTGTGAATTGTCTTTAAGGGTGGAACATGGTAATGCATTATATTTAACCCCATGAAGAGGAACACCCCCTGCCCTACGTGAGCTCTTCAGTCCTTATGAATGAACGCTCTCCCTCTCTCCTCTTTGCTCCTGTGCAAAGGCCATCGCTGCCCTGGAGTCATCTGACATTCAACAGCAGGTGTAATGCCCTCTCCTATCACCAGGTGTCTCGCTGAGCTCCTTGCTTTCAGTGTGCCCCCCTACCGACCCTACTGTTCACTGCTACAAATTCATTGAACGGATTGTGAAGGGAAAAAAAGGCCAGTCTTTCTCTCTCTCACTCGCTCTGTCTTCACTTGGCTGCACAGTGCCTTTGTCTCGCCAGCATCTCGTCCCCATTTGTCGACAATTATTCCCACGAATCATTGCACTTGACTTCTGCATTTAGAGCAGCCGCAAGATCTAAAGTCCATCTGTGTCAAATAAAAAGAGTAATGTAAAGTCAGCCGTTGACTAAATTGTAGACAAAATCTTTTTTGGCAGAGTGGGTTTGTCTTTAGGAGAAAGCTGCAAAAATGGCACATGATACAGAGCTGCGAGGGGAAAAGACCTGGTCGTTTTTTGCTCATTATAATCAAAAGGTGTGCAGTGGTGCTACTTCCATGAAGCTTTGTGCAAAGAGTAACATGTGAGCATTCGGCACATGCTAACTAAAGTGGGCAAGAGCAGGACAAGTTCATAGATTTAAAGAAAGAAAAAAGTAAAATCCCCACAAAATCCAATTGGAACACCAGGTGCCACAGTGGGGCAGCTGCGGCTGTAAAGTGCCAAACTCGTTGTGTCCTCAGGCAAGACACTTCACCCACATTGTCTAGAAAAGGTCTGGTGTGTGTGTGAAGGATTGGGGGTGTTTGGAGGGGCTGATGGCACACACTGGTTGCCTCGCTTCTGTCAGTGTGCCCCAGGGCAGCTGCAGCAAAAATAGTAGTTTATCACCACTGTGTATGGAGTGAAATAATAATGGCATGTGAAGCATCTTTGAGTGTCCAAAAAGTGCTATATAAAACCAATGTATTTTCCTGTGAGTGGCTTTCCAGCAATCACACTCATGGGTAATACCCAGCTAGTGTGGTCCTAGTTTTGGATAGTAATGGATAGTATTTGCCACTTTTGTCAACTCAGCCTTGTAAGCACGACCTCCCTGAACTTTCGAACACACAACTCATCACAACTTCACCCTCACGCCACCACCTGTACCTAGGTCTCATGTTACACCTGTACCTAGGTCTTATGCCACCACCAGTACCTGTAGGTCTTACTGTATGTCACCACCAGTCCCTAGGTCCCAGGAGATGATAAGCGGCACACAAGGAATGATCTTCAGACAAAGTGCCGCAGGCGTGGTCTATAGGCGCCAAACAAACAAACAAATAAATGAATTCAATTCAATGTCATGTCTGTATCTCTTCAGATTGAAATGTTAAAAGCTGATTTGGCCAGTACGTGTCCTCTAAGGCAGTCATGTGTGTTTTGTGGTTGCAGTGCACAGTAGCTGCTCGGACTCCTCCTCCGTGGGCAGCGTGAAGGAGGGGGACAGCGGCAGAGACCCCCGCAGGAGCTCCGGGGGCATGGGACACTCACAGGTGGGGGCCACACACCAGCACTGATCCATAACCAACACCTGCTTAAATACAACCAGGGGGACATGTGGACACAACTGTGACCAGGATATTAAGAGGTTCAAATTAGTTAGGACCAAGATGGAGGAAAGGATTTACTTTATCTTTGGTGTTTTATTGTTTGATTGATCACAAATCACCAGAGTCCAAACGTATTCCTCACACTCTTATTATTTGTATCTATGTATCCTTATTTGCAATGAGTGCCAAATACATGCTCTGTTTCGTACACAAAAATGCAAAGCAACTACACAAAACCCTAACATAATCACAATAATTATTTTTTTTAAAAAGAAAAAAGAAAAATGGTCCCATTTTTTAGCAGTTAGAAAGTTACACTTTCTGAGATGCAACAGTTTTTCTTTTTCTTTTTTATTATGCAACATTTCCACAAACAATACAATACAATAGCAATAATGACATAAAGAGACAGTTAACTAATAGATTGATGTACACAAGAAACAAAACAAACCAAACAATCAAACAAAAATGAATAAAACAATAACCAAAGGAAATTAGTAACTGAGGAAGTTAGTGCGTGTGTGCGTGTGTGTGTGTGTGTGCGTGTGTGTGTGTGTGCGCGTGCGTGCGTGTGTGTGTGCATGCGTGTGCGCGTATGTGTGTGAGTGTCATAATCCTCACGACCAAAACTATTTGAGTTTCCATTGGGAGATTAATAATAATAATAACACCAATAATAATAATCAATTCAATTCAATTCAACTTTATTCCGGACTCATAGTCCAATATAATCACTGTCATTACTACCATCTCTATTAAAACAATAACAGTGATAATAATAATAATAATAATAAGTGTTAATAATAATAATAAGGTGCACTGCTACCTTCCCTCCACCGTCCCCCCTTCCCTATTTTAAGTGTATTAATTTTACAGTTTCACTACTTTGTTGTGTGACAAACAGTATATTTGACAGCCAGAGTTCCTGTCAGGCAAAACTCAAGATAATCAGGCAGTTTTTCAATAGAAATAATTTCCTTTATAAATACATAATTTTATGTTACTCTTTTCTAACACACAGCGAAGTCCAATGAATGCTGGATTAAGCTTCAGTGAGTGGTTAGTACTGTGATGGGAGACCTCTCGGAAAACACCAGTTGCCTCACTCGGTTGCAACTGGGAAGTGCCAAACTGTTGTTGTGTCCTTAAGCAAGACACTTAACACACATTGCCTAGTATGAGTCTGGTGGTTGTTGGTGGTGGTTGGATTAGTTCTTCTCACTTCTGTAAATCGACCTCAGGGCAACTATATGGCTACACCAGTCACTGAATAATAACACCATGTGCAGTGTCTTTGAGCGCCATGACAAGTATTTAAGAACTATGCATTATTCTAAACATTTCACAATGATCTAACCAGAGCTGTCCCCATTTGCCTCACACTTCCTGTTTTGTGAACTATAAATAGCAGCAAAGACACAGATAAGTATTTTTTTTCAAGACCTGGATGTATAACAAATATTAGTAGCACAAAATAACGCGCAAGTAATCATTTATGAATATTATTTTCAAAAAGAGCAGCATTCCACGCCCGTTTATGGGTTCCTCACTTGAAAAAGACATTTTTATTGATAGTAATTAGCTTGTTTCAATTTTATAGAACAGAAAATGTGATAAAAACCAGCAAAAACAGTTTCTTATTTACCCGGGAAACTGTTGCGAGGCCTATAATTTAAAAAGTTTCCATTTTGAAAGCCTTCGATCTAAAGCCGCGGTGAATGAGCGATACACCTATAGTCAGCGTTTAGGCATTGTGAACTCCGCCGCCGCTCTATACATATGTATTTATGGAGTGAATGGCTGCGCGGCTGTAAGCGTACAACAATACCTGGCTCACGGCTGGAGTCTAAATGAATTTGCTCATCTCAAACAGCGGCACATTCTCCGCATCTTCTTATCGGGCGAACGGAATATGACAGATCGGCAAACAGGCGCGGACACGGCACGATAGCACAAACACGGCACCTGCACTGCAAAAAATGTCAAATGGAAAATGATTTGAATTCAGAATGTCAATCTTGATTTGTGTTGTTTGGAGCAGGGAGGGTTTAATTATGTCTTCTGTAACTTCTGAATAAAAGAAAGAAATTAGTCACACGCAAGTTTAGAATGGTGAAAACCTGCACTTGTTCATATTGAAGATGATGTGACTAAACATAAGTAAAAAACATTTTTGGGGAATGGGACTCCAAAAGGGGCGACAGTAGCTCAGTTGGTAGAGCATTGGCCTTCAGGCCTGAAGGTTGTGGGTTCAATTCCCACCTCGACACCTTCTCCACCGACTCCCACTGATGTCTGCTGTCGTTGTGTCCTTGGGCAAGACACTTAACCCCACTTTGCCCAAAGCCCCCACTGAAAGATCAAGGCTATGCTCACAGTCAGAGAGCAGCCGTCCTCCTGTGGACTCACCACCTGCAGAGGGTCAGTGAGGGGCTGGTGCTGTGAGACTTGGGTGGTATCTCTGACTGCCACCCCCCTGACCCAGAAATGGATTAAAGGGTAGAAAATGGATGGATGGATGGATGGATGGGACTCCAAAAGCTCCTAAGCAATGGTTTTCCTGACAAAAATGATGAGATTCTCACACAAAACCTAATCTACATTTGATCTACATTGAAACATTTGATCTACATTCATACATTTATCTAAATGTATACATTTTATCAACATTTATCTACAGTATACTGTATATCTATATCTATACACATACATTTTACTAAACCCTTCATACAGTAGTTAGAATGTTTCCCAACTTTTCTCAATATCCTGCATTACAAAAGACCTTTAAAAGTAACTTTATACAGTGGTCTGTAATAAAAATCTAAATCTAGTCGTCTGATAATAACCCGCAATGAGCAAAATCCGCAAAGTAACAGCTGTATGTTTTAAGGCTTTAAAACCCTCACACACACTTTATACATTTTTCTAACCATATGAACTCACGACTGCCAGAGCACCATCGCAGAGATATCAAACCTGTTCGTTAATGGTCTGAGTGCTGCTGCAGCTGTCAAAAGCTGCACACGCAATAAAAAATGCAGATGCAGAGGGCATCAGAGAAGAGTTAAACCAATTTATTTATTTATTTGAATGGGACAGTGCATGTCAATGAACAGACACATTAAAAACATGAATGTAAACATGCCAGATTATCCAAAGGCTGATTTCCATCTGTGTCCCATGGGGTCAGGGTCACACGGGTCAAATACAGAAACATCAACAGAAACAAAAGAGGAAAATGACAAACAAAAAAAACAGCTTCCATTCCGCTACAGGCCACACTTTAGTAGTCCACCAAAATCCACAATGTAGAGTCAACATCATTGCACACACCCAACAATTGCACACATACAATTATTGCACACAAAAGATTATTGCACACGTCAAATTATTGTACACATCCCGTTATTGCACAACATCCTTGCATTATAGTCAACCAAATCTACACAATGATGGGATTTGAATTTGTTTTGAGCAATCAGGAAGCTGTGGGAATTTCACTCTCTTCACAATCTGAAAAGTAACTAACATCTTTAAATGTTTTTAACCCTGGTGTAAATATATTGTAAAAGTTTATGGTGTGTTCAAACATATATAGTCGTCGCCCTAAAATAACTTTGAGAGGAAAATAATTCAGGACAGATGAGAGATATCCTTGGAACAGCACCCCTGCCCCAAGTGGACATGCATATGTAGACACACGCGCACGCACACGCACACACACACACAACTACAGTCAAACACAATGTAAATGTCCACAATGTTGCCTGTTTTTTGTTATTGTCTTATTGTATTGGTTTGTCTGAACTTGTATTTTGCATGATCCCACTCTGTGTGGAGTGGGAGACAAATGCCCACAATTGTTAAGCGCTTTGTGACTTTGGTCTGTGAAAGGCGCTCTATAAATAAAAATGACTTGTATTGTATGTCTATATTTTGACTAATAAAAGAAAAGTCTGATTTTTTTATTCTTTTCTGCAACGCTACTTAAAGTTTGCAATCTACATCTCTGTCGTTCACAATTCAGCCTGTATTTTTTTTTTTTTACAGTGTGCCTCATATAAGCTCCATACTGAATTAAACTTTATTTTTCTCCCTGTTTTTTACAGTCTCCCTCCACAGCCGTATAACTGTCATCTCAATAACAGTAAGTCATGCCGTTTTATTAGATTAAATATGTTTTCACTCTGTTTCCCTCTTCCTGTCTCGCCCACACACTTCTGACGCCCATAACGTGGGCTTCTCCTGTGTTCAGTTTGTTAAAGACCACCAGGAATGTTACGATTTGAGGCTTTAAATTATAGCATGCTAAAGCTGCAGAGCTTACATGCATGCTAGGGACAAGACTAAAAACTTCATCAGAGTCCTTTTTTATTGAAACATGTTTTTTTTATGTGGACAGTAGATAAACACTAAAATTGTGTTTTTGTTGAAAAAAGGTGAGACGAGTTTATATATTTAGCAGCATTTCACTAGCATTCTTCACTACTGCCCCCAGTGGTTGCTCCATCGGGGGTATTTTATATACAAATGAATGATCTTCAGCCCTGCGTCCACTGCAGGATTCTATAACTGATGATTTATGACCGTGAAGGACATTGTGAGTCGTGGTTGATTCAGCAAAACTGATGCCAAGATTAAACTAAGAACTTTTGTGCAACCAAATATCATGACATGTTTGATGTTTTTGGAGTTGTGGTTGAAGAGTCGACCTGTCTCTTCTCCGTCTGCGATTAAGTATCATGAATGATGTTTTGTCATTCACCAGCAAGCCCAAAGAGGACTCACAGATGAGTATGGCCTACCAGGTGTTCCCTGTCTGTAACTGTGTAAAGCCAAGCCCCGGCGATCCAAGATGGCGCCCTGTTCAAATGAATGGTTGTGCTCAGTGGCGCTTTGTGACGGCATGGGGGCAGAAAGATTAGCGGAAGTCGCCTGAAACTCACAAAGATCTATGGGAAACTCGCCTGTATTTGGGCATCGTCTGGTCCTCCCGGTTCTGCGCAGTGGATGATCTCCCATAATGCGTTGCGCCAAACACGCGTGTGGGTTTCACACCAGGTCTCACGCACGTGCACAGAGGGGCTCGGCCGCGCTCTGACCAATCAGAGCAGTTCATCAGAGCGGGAGTTAGAGCGAGAGCCAGACGAGCAGAGTTTGTGGCAGTAAAGTGTGAATTTAAACAAAACCGAAGGATTTAAGAAGAAAAAAAGTTCAGGATGACAAGGAACACTAAAATCCCCACAAAATCCGATCTTTATTAAAGCTGTAGGTTCTCTTTCAGCTGAGGTCGAGCTATTTTAATATGCATTGAGTTCTATGGGGAAAATTTCTGGGTAGCCCACGTGAATTTAGTCTGGTTCAGTCTGCAGTACCGCGAGAATCCCCCGAGCACATGAGTTATTCAGCTACAAGCTAGTAATACCCTATCCAGTTTTAATAATGTGTTTTTATCATGTGTAAAGCTAATTGTAACTGTGGTCGCAAGTTGATGACATCATCACACTGCGATCCAAGTGACTGATTTCTAACAGCGATTATCGATAAAAGAGTCACTGTGTAACATTTACTTAAAAGACAGAAACAAAGGATGTGTGCAGTGGACACCAGGCCTGAGGGCGCGTTCACACCTGTTGGTCTGGTTCAGTCTAGTTTCAACTAGACTGAACCAGACCAGGGCGGCACGGTGGCTGAGTGGATAGCACTCTCGCCTCTCAGCAAGAAGGTCCTGGTTTCGAATCCCGGTCGGACCAGGGCCTTTCTGAGTGGAGTTTGCATGTTCTCCCCGTGTCTGCGTAGGTTTCCTCCGGGTACTCCGGTTTCCCCTACCACTAAAAATATGTCCAATAGTTCTGGCATGCGCTTCCTGTACTGGCGACCCCGCTCCCATCTCTGTGTGGAGTGAGAGACAAATGCCCAAAATTAACAATTGTAAACCGCTTTGAGACTCAGATCTGCAGTGAAAAGGCGGTATATAAATAAAAACTTACTTACTTACTTACTAACTGATGTAAAGTGACTGGACACATGTTCAGTGGATTTATACCCACAAATAAACACTTTTTGCCCAGAGTGAACCAGCGTGAAGGTACAACCCAAATGTTTGCTTTAGTTTGCTGGGTTTTCATGTTAGGGTTAGGGTTAGTTGTTGTTCATTTTTATTTTGTTAAAGTTTGATGTAAAGCAGTAAAAAAATCATGTGCTAACTTTGTTGCTCTGTTTTATTCCATGTAGAAACTGGACAAAGGTTCGACTCATCTCAAGCAGCACTTACAGACTCTGAACTGGAGACGGCAGACTGTATTTTTTGGAACGTCTCCAAATGGCCAAATCCTCTTGAATATTTTTCTCGCCAAAGAAAAGCTGCGTCCAAAACACAAGTGCCTGTTTAGCCGGTGTCGAATGCCAGTGGGACTCCTCTTCTCCTCCCTCTGCCCGCCGCCATCTTGGATCTGCTCATCTCAGTTTCCTGCAGAGTCACTGACACCAAAGGCACAAGGGCCACTTTGTTTCCCTCAAACCCCTCACGAGACCACCAGCTCCCCGGGCAATGGTCAACAGGAAGCAAAGTTATTACAAAATACGCCTGCCACAATATCAAAGGATGCTTGTACAGTTTCTTTCATTATTGTTGTTTCATGAATTACCAAAAGCATGTGACAGAAACAGTTGCATGGGTTTTTAAGTAAATTGTGCATACATTTTTTTACCATTGTGTCAAGTGTGTGTAAAGCAGATTACCGATTTCAGCTAACAGTATGAAACCTAAATGTATACAAATAAATAATTACACAGTTGAAACATATTTATAACACGTTTTTTAATCTTATTTTTGGTGCTAGGAGAGTACTTCGGAATGTTTGGCAGCACTTAAGGATAAAGCTTGCATTTATGGGTGTAAGTAAATGCCAGCCCTATTCGAAAGTGCCACCAAAATGTTATAAGTAGGTGCCATCAATGGGGATATTTGTTTGTCAAAATGGGAATTTCAATGTTGTGTTCAGTAGTGTTATTTAAGGAAAGATCTTAAAAAGCTACCTTGTATAAAAGACCATGTAGCACTTTTTGATAATTGCTTTAAAAGAGCAGAACATGCAGAATCGACTTTCCAAAGCTTTTTTCTTATCGTTTACAAACTCAAATGTGTGTTTAGAGCGATTCATGCACGTTTGACTCATTTATGTTATACACTCTTTTTACGCAATGATTTTTGCTTGAAGAAAGAAAAAATGCGGTGGTAATATCCTATGTCGACCCTGGAGAACATGGGAACAGCGTGTTGTTTAGATCCAACTTCCAAAATAGGTCTTCTAACCGCACAACACCTCAGGACCTCAGGGAAATGCATTTTAATGGACTACAACAAACAGATTTTGTACACAAACAACTTTATAAAGGAAAGAGCTGTGCGTAAAACAGCCCAAACTTTGATGGTGTTATGTTCGTTACTCGTCTTGGAACACAATGTATGCAAAGTATTGTTCCTCGCTTAACCTTAGCCTTCTTCACTCGACCTACATGTAAGCTACAAAAACAGTTTGGTTTGGTTCACACTGAACACGCCTCGGCAAAAAGACTAGATCCAGAGTTTCCCCTTGTCCCTCAGTGTGTAGGGAAGTGCGCCCTGTGGTTTTTGATGGAACAACCTGTGTTTTGGCTCAGTCTGAATGAGACTAGTGATTACTGGTTGAATGTGACAACGTTTCCACTGATATAAAGTTACACTGTAAAAAGTAATACATTACTTAAAGAGCGACTAAACACCTGTGACCAGCCTTACTCCGCTGGGGGGGGGGGTGGGGGGGGTGGGGCTTGGAGTTGGCCGTGGTCTGGGCTGTGATTGACAGCTCACTTGTCAGATGAAAAAAACACAGTTGTCATTGCTGCTTAAAGCAATAGTCTACACACCAGAAAGTCTCATTCCACCCTTGTTTATACACTAAGATAAGTGTAGCGCTACACACCTGAACCTAATCCACAGAATTGTCTCAGCAGAAGTGGTTGTCAACTCATGTAATTTAATTTTAATCCACTGTCGCCAGAATACTCCAACCTGCTGCTGGGGCGTGTGTGAGCGTTGGATGGGTTTATATCACTGGCTCTGACAGACGCACGTCACACGCACCAACTGACGTCACACAGAATTACAGAATCAATGGAGAGGCCAGAACCAAATTCAAATGTAGTACCACCGAAAAGGTTGAGAGGGCGCCACACAGACGTTTTTAGGCTCAAAAGTGAGATTTTATCTAATTTGCACTAAAATGTCAAAAGAATTACCAGGATATGTAGAGAGCACTACAATAAACATATTTATGCAGTTTATGAGTTAAGAAAAAGTTGATTTGGTGTTTAGTCACTCTTTAAGTTGAGTACATTCTGACTGTCTTAAAACAATCTTTGCCAATAAGAAAAAAACATTTAGTCTTATTTCAAGAACTGTTGCTTTTTTTCTTATTCCGAGTGAGACATTTCTTGTGTCTTTATAAAACAAGACTATTTTGCTTGTCTCATTGGAGGATTTTCTTTTTACAGTTGGATCATCAAGACTTGGTCCTCCTATTTGTCATTTTGATCGTCTTCGTCAAACAAAGAGTGTTTTTTGGGAAATTATTTCAGTCGCGAAGTTTCTACTGGCATTCTATTTGGAGACCATTTTTTTGAAGTGCGGTTCTTTCCTAAAATGTAGAGAACATTTTGCTCTACACCTTTAAAGTACATTTTGCCAAATTTGTGGAATTTTAGACATATTTTCCATCACTTTTTACAGTGTAAGGGCAGAGCACAGAACAATGCGGCAGGACTCAATACAAACATTTGCGGCCTGGTTTTTTTATCCCATTGTTTTTGATCAATATTGGAATTTCAAATGTACTGATTTTATAAGCCACGTGCGTCCTAGTGTCACTATATTCTCGACAGAAGCGTGTCTATCATTCTTTATTGTTCCGACAGCCCAAAAAACACAGCGCTATTAATTCCCACTCTAACCACGACACTACAGTCAACAGGAAATAACTACCCTCACCTCACGCCACATAAATCCGCCATGGCGTTGCCAGATTTGAATTGCATTATTGACGTTTTATGGATGGAGGCAGACGTTTCCCCTTCTCTGCTGGAGCTCAAA